GAAATCAACTATGTAGTCAAAGCAATAGAAAAGCTTCCAGATTTCTCTATTCCAGGCTGAGACAAGTTCGTAAATACTTCCAGRAATTGCCAACATGCCTGCAGGGTAACATCTCTAATGTACACCTCCCTGATATGAAATGCAGAGCACCTTAACTCCTTTGGCCCTCCCCCAGTCACAACCAGCTATAAATCCTGTCCTTCAGTTGTTAGAATATCTCATCATAAGGGATGCATTTTTTAGGCTGAGAAATACARATACACCTTGACAGAGCCAGTCATGCATATACTGCTGATAAATGTATACCAAGCACTCCTAGTGTGGGAATCACTCACAGGCACACTAAGCAGATAACATTTTTGCACACTAACGTGTTGCCAGTACAGTTTATTCCAAACTCCCCATCTTTCCCCCCAAAAAACAAGCTGAATTGGCAGTAGCATTGTTTTGAAGGCAACCCTGCACCYGTACTATGTATCTTTGCAGGCACAACTCCTCACCCCTAGCCAGCTAGTCTAAGTAAGTTCCTTGTAAATTGGAAGTTACAGAAAAGAGAATTGAAGAATTGAAAAATGCAAGRGGAGCTGAGCCTGAGCTGCTTTTCCTCGGGAGGCCTGAGGTTCTGGCAGCACAGAAGGGCAGCATAAGGTGCTTTACTCACAAGCTGGCACCAGGGAGGCTGCATCAGGAGGAACCTGTCATTAGCAGAAAAGGAGCTCTACAAATCAGTCAGGGTAGGTTACTGGGGTGTGGAGAATTGATAGTGCTCTGATGGAAGGTCCTGACACATTTACCCTAATCCAGTGACTCAAAACACAAAGAGTGGAAATGTGGAGGGACAGGAAGGTGCAGCACTGAGGAAGCAGGGGCATCATTTGCTCCAGGCTGTCTGCAGCAGCTTTCACATGGCCAGGACAGAGCCCAGTCCCACACGTGGTGGCACACTGTACCATGGGCTCAATGCTCCTCTCCTGACAGCAATCTCAAGTGGTCCCTTTAAAAATCTCTCTCACTGGCATCAGCTCACTGCCAGGAGCCAAAGGTGATAAACAGGGGTGGGAACAAGCTGCTCATGGGCAGCTAAGGAAATGCTGGATAGAAATAGAGGTGTTTGGTAACCTGACTGATGAAAAAGAAAGGGTGCAGATAGAGCTGGAGAAGTACCCAAGGTGGGAACAAGCTGCACAAAAAGTCTTAGGAGGGTGAAATATAGAAAAAATATGCTGGGGGAAATAAAAGGACCATATTTCCATCCCACTCTGGGATCCTGACCCCCAGTTCAGAGTWAATTAAGGATTTCAAGTGTTGTGCTAGTGAGAGAGATCACTGTGAAGCRATAGCTCAGGCTCAGCCCCTGCMGTCTCCAGGAAAGGAGCTCCCAGCYCTGCAGAGGTTGATGGGCAGTCACCAGACCCAGACACTTGGCACTGAGGTGTGTTAGATGGGACTCTGGGTATGCCCTAAAACCAGTGTTGAATGGAAAGTGTCTGKCAGTACTCCGTGAAGGGAGACAAAATTTCATGAGCTTGGGGATTACTGGGGGGACTGACTAATTTTGGTAGTCCAAAAGGGTCTGTGCTGGGGAAATATCTTCAATGGCAATGCCTCTGGAAAGGTGGGGGTGGAGGCATTGTACTGAAGCCTTGAGCTGTGGGAGAGTATCACACAAAAATATGCAATGCTAGCACAGGCCAGAACTTGCCTGAGACAGAGGGTGCCTACTCATGGCTGGGACAGTCCTCCCACACTGTCCTCCCTRCAGCATATTTCATCTGCATCCCCTCTGCCAGCTGCAGCTCCAGCCACAGGAGGAGGCTTCCTGGTACACCTCTGGCTGCTTTGSAGCTGCTAGTAGTTTCAGGCTCTGGTGCAATGGAGACTCACTCTGTGCCTGGCTTGCCAGCCTTTGTTACCCAGCAGAGGCTGTTAGCTGAGGCAGGCCCACTAAAATTCAGCACAGATAGTGTCCAGAAAAGTAAAGCCCCCATCTGCTTCCCCATGATCCTAATCCTATCAGAGACCATTAGAGTTTGGCATTCATGTAGAATGCAAAATAACTTTCACTGCAGGGGAGAAATCTTCAAGTCTCTGTTCAGTTCCTGTTTCTTCTGCCTTTATTGGGAGGAATTTCTGCCTGCAATGACAKCTACCCCACATCACTGAGAAGCTGGGTACTGAGGTGCCAGGAGGGGAATGAGGAGAATAAAACTTTCACTAGACTAAAAACAGTGTAAAACACCAGCAGTCAGGCATTGTATGATTCTAGCTTTGCCAGGCAGCTAAAATCAGGTTAATGTAAGAAACCACATAGGGAAGCCAGAAATTATTTTGTTATCTTTCTACTTGCTAGAATTCTGAGTCTGGACAGTGGCCAGCACTCCCTTCCCCAGTACAGGGCTGTGAAGCCAGGAGACTTTCTCCTTTATCTCTGAGCTGCTCATTGCAATGTCTSCAAAGCACTAACAAGACATGTGATTGACCCAAATATATCAGTGATCACAGTTTCAGGAATGCTCAACATGCTGTAAATTGAACAGCTTGGCTGAWGTTTAACCCTCTACCAACTGTCTGGTTTTAAAAATATTGCAGCTTGTAAGAAGGACTATTAGCCAGAGGGATGGTTCAGCTAAACTCTGGCTCTTACTCCTTTCAAGGAGTGTAATTAGGAGGCGGAGTATTTGGGGGAGGCGATGTTTTTCCAGCTATTGATTTAAGGGTGCAGTCAGAGTACAGCCTGTTGATTAACTGCTTAGCTTAAAAGATGCAAGCTGTAATTGAAATTAATGTCATGCATAACTTGGAGGCTATATTCACCTTAATAACAGGAAATGTAATGTTCTTATCCATGGCAATTGTTCTTCTGGGTGGGTGGGGGGAAATTCCCAGTGCAGACACTGGSAGCCGGATGATCACTAGAAGCACAACTCACCCTGAAAGAAACACAATTCCTTTAAAGCAAAATACATGTCCAACCTACGTATGGAGTAATTTTTGCTTTCAGTAATTTTCCAACAAGCTAGGAACTAACTTAARCCTATTTCAAGCTAGAAAGTGACAGAGAACAGAGGCAATTCTGTGTAATTTCTRTGGTAAAAATACTGTTGGATAAAAGCCTCCTGCTCAAAGTAATGGTACTGYTCTCATCGACCACTGTGAAGTGCAGCAATCACCAGCTCCAAATCTGGTGTTCACCGCGCAGCTCGRGTGGCTTCAAAGGGTGAAAGTGTAAAGCGTCATCTGGCCATGAGGCTTCAGGGTCGSAACAGCACGAGACCCGAATTCTTRGSTATGAGTTGGAATATCTGACAGCTTGTATTGCCTTTGAGGGGAGCCAGGCTGCTGAGCATTTCTCATTATCACYATAACCGGAGTGCAGCGCGGAGCCGTGAGCGGCAGGAGGTGCTGGTGCGACACTGSTGATGCCTCACGGAGCGGCGGGGAGGCGCCTGCCGAGCTCTGCCCGGGAATTTGAGGCAGAAGACAGGGGGAAAAGACAGCGAATTCAACTTTTGCTTTTCTTTTTGTTGTTGTTTGCTTGTTTTTGTTTGGTTATTTCTTTGGGTGGGATTTTTTTTTTTTGTGCGGGGGGAGCTGTATGTATGTGTGTGTTACTGTTAAGGTGGATTAGCAGAGTTCGAATGTTTTTAACAAAATCCTGGAAAACAAYGAATTCCCTATTTCTTGTCATAAAAGGAAATAAATTGTATTCCATCCAATCTGAAAGACTGGGGTGTGGCTGAAAAACTAGGAGTTGTGATACCTCAGGAGAGCAGAAAGAGTTCAAGAGGCGAGAAAGGAATTTTTTTTTTCTTTTACAGTATTTAAGATTCTGTGTGCAGTGGTTTTGCTACGCTGATCCAACTCGAATAACTACTTTGGAGGATAGCCACGGCAACGATAGCAGAAAGGAGAGGTGTTTAATCTCGTTCGGCTTACAAACGTATTCTACCCAAGGGAGATCTCCAGTAAAATATAGAAAGAGCAGAGCTAAGCTTCTTTACCTTGGGAAGGCAGGAAAATTGAAATGAGGGACAGAGAAGCAACTACTCTTCTAAACACCTCAGAGGGACACAACTTGAAAAGAAAGACTGGCTGTCGTTCCCTCGGGCAGGATATCCCGCGAGGTGGGTTAACCCCGCCCGAGAGGGTTAAAATGCCCCTAAACGCTGGTCCGCACACTCCGTGACACACCTGGAACTTGCGCACCGTGCACACCCCGATGTGTCAGGACGCGAAGGGCGCTCCCCTCCGCCACCCCCGACCGCCACCTGCGGCCGCCGGAGCGGGAGCAAGAGGTGATGCTCCGTGGGGTCTCACACGGCGCCGCGCCTACGGTCACTGGCGGCCCTGCCCGGCAGGAGACCCGGCATCAGGGCACGGTGTCTGAGTTGGTCCGGTTCCGCTGCCGGGCGGGCAGGTGTCTTGTCCGGGTGTGMACCGCGCATCGCTCGGGTTTGTAGCGATCCCTTTGTGCAACCACCTGCCGGCTCCCGGCTCCCGGCCCCCGCGCGGCTCCGAGCTCCGGGCTGCGGGTGGCGAAGCGGAGCGGAGGGGAGCAGAGGGGGTGCCGCTCTGCCGCTGACCGGGGCGCGACCCCACCGTGCGGCCGTGGGCGGAGGGTGGCGCGGCCGCGCCCGGAGCTCCGCGGCCGTCCGTGCACCGGCGCGGGGGGCGGCCCCGCTGGCGTGCGCACCGCCTTCCTCTTCCCCTTCCCCCTCCCCGCTTTCCTCCCTCGGTGTGCAGGCTCCTTTGTGCTGCCTGCAGCGGCGAGGAGGAACGGGCGGGCCAAGCGTCCCCGCCGCAGCGCTCTCCCTTCCCGCGGGCGGCCGACCGGCGGGGCTCCCACGCCATCCGCGATCCTTCCGCGTCCTCGACGGGGCGCCCCGCCGCGTGTGGGACCGCCACCCCCGCCGCGCGGGCCATCGCCGTTTTAAGCGGAGGGCCACGCCGGGAGACGGGGCGGGCCGGGCGCGCCTCCCCCCGGCTTCCCCACGTGGTGCGGTGCCCGTGTCTCCCGGCCGGCGGCGGAGCTGGGCGCACACGGCGTGGGGCAGCCGCCGGGGCTCGCCTGCTCTCGCCGCCGCTCGCCGGGCGGCAGATCCGGCCCGCGGCCATGCGCCAGCGCTGCGCTGAGCGGCCGAGCGGCGGGGCTGCACCGCCGTGAAGCGGCGTGAGGATGAAGCGGGCGAGGCGGGCCGCGCCGGGCCCCCTGCCCGTGCTGGGGCTGCTGCTGCTGGGCGCCCTGCCGGGGCTGTGGACCGTGCTGCTGCGGCGGGAGGCCGCGGCGCTGCCGGAGCCRCGGTCGCCCGCCGGGCAGCCCCCGGGACCATGGGGCTGGGGGCGCACACCGGCGGCGCGGGGCGAGTCCGGCGGCGGCGGGCAGAAAACTTTTCGGACGCTGCTGGCGGTGCCGGCGGCGACGACGGACCGGGAGGAGCGGGGCGGCGAGGAGCGGCTCGCTGCGACGGACTCGCCGCCGCCGGCTGAGACCGCCTCTCCGGTGGAGCGGGGCATCTTCTGGAGCCGTGAGCTTGAGGAGCAGGTGCCGCCGGGCTTCGCGGCGGAGGAGGCGGCGGCGTGGCTGTCGGCCGCCCGCGCCGCCCGCGTGGCCTCGCTGGAGCGGGGCGGCTGCGGGCGCAGCTCCAACCGGCTGGCGCGGCTGTCGGACGGGAGTCGCGCCTGCGTCCGCTACGGCATCAACCCGGAGCAGATCCAGGGCGAGGCGCTCTCGTATCACCTGGCCGGCGTGCTGGGCATGCAGGAGCGGCTGCCGCCCATGGCCCTCGCCCTGGTGGAGGCCCGCGGGCGGCAGTGGGAGCCGGTGCGGGAGGAGCTGCGCGGCTCGCACTGGGCCGAGGGCGCCGTGGTCAGCCTGACCCGCTGGGTGGACAATCTCACCGCCGTCGTGGCTCCCGCGCCCTGGGGYGCCGAGGCGGGCGCTGGCCGGCGGCTGCAGCCGCTGTCGGCGGGGGAGCTGGGCGGGCTGCCGCCGTCGCAGCTRGTGGAACTGGTGCAGTGGAGCGATCTGATCCTCTTCGACTACCTGACTGCCAACTTCGACCGCCTGGTCAGCAACCTCTTCAGCCTGCAGTGGGATCCGCGGGTGATGCGCCGCGCCACCAGCAACCTGCTCCGCGCCCCCGACGGCGGGCTCGTCTTCATGGACAACGAGGCGGGGCTGGTGCACGGCTACCGCCTCCTCGCCATGTGGGACCCCTACAACGAGCCGCTGCTGCGCTCCGTGTGCGTGTTCCGCGAGGGCACGGCCCGCCGGGTGGCCGAGCTGCACCGCCGCCGCAGCGCTGCCGCCGAGCTGCGCCGCCGCTACCGGGCCCGGGAGCCGCTCTGGGCGCGCCTCGGCTTCCTCTCGGAGCGCCAGGCCGAGCTCCTGCAGGCCCGCGTCGACTTCGTGCACCGCCACATCGCCCACTGCCGCGCACAGGCCGCCGCGCTCTGAGCGCGTTCCCTCTGCTCCCGGGCAGCGGCACTCGCCTGTCCCGGCAGCTGCCGCGGGCCGGAGCTGACCCRGCCGGCCACCCCGGTGCCCCGGACTGCCGGGGACAGAGAGCGCTGGGAATGGGGACGGCCGCCCGGAACCTGCCGCGGCTGTCGAGAGGAGCGATTAATTCGCTTTGTCAAGATCTCTGAAGATGCAGAGTGCAATCTGTATAATTACGGCCCAGTTACACTCTAGGACTCTGCCCCCAGATTGGAAAAAGGAAAGGGTTCAGCATCTTCAGTGCTTTCCTTAGCTCTCTTCGTGCCCTCGCTCTCGTAAGAGACCCCATAGGAAAGCAGTMGTCTTTGTCTGGATTGGGGTCGAGTATCTTTTTTCCTTCCAACGAAGGCAGGCGGAAACATTTTTTATATATTCTTTCTTTTGCAACGGCATATTTAAGTATGATTGTTGATGTTCTTAGACCAAGAAYTGGTTGCACAATAGGGGAGCCCCTAACTAGCAAAACTGCCCTATTTATGAAACTTGTTTCCTACCAATTTTCTTTAACGAGAGTGAACTTTTCCACTGATTGTTAAATCTTGTTGATGAGAAGTGTATAGGAAGCCCATATTCCCTTAGTTCTTAGATTTTTGTGGATTCGTTGGGTTAAACTGTCCTGATCCTTAAGGGTTTGTAATCATCACCATCATAATTTCACCTGACCAGTAAAGTTACTGACTAATGGGTGGTACAAGATCTCCCATTTTAAAAAATTACTGCTATGTGCTAAGACTTTGACACAATGGTTAAAGTGGAGGAAAAACTGTTTCATGCACTTTACTTTGACTTTTTAATATTTTTTTTAATAGAAAACCTTTTTATTTTACAAAGTCTGCCTTTTATGTACATTATATATGTTCATAAACTTTTCTGTAACATACTAAAGAAACTGATATTTCAGTAAAGTGTGTTAATGTTTTGCCTTCTTTGGCCTGGATGTTTGCCTGAGCTTTTGACAGGGAAGCGTGCATCTCCTCAGTCTTTCCTCACGAGGAGCGGTTGAGGCCACCACTGTGCAGCTTCTCACTACACTGAACAGAACGAACTTACACTCATTCTCTCTGAGGCAAGGAGGGGTGGAGTTGAAACTTCAAACACTACCCTTCTCTCATTCCTGCCTGTTGTGTTCCTGGAAGGGGAAAAGCTCTTGGAGTGGCTAAAGTAGTGTGGGTACTTCAGCTTAATGGACATTATCTGTTTTTCAAAGCCTGAAATGCACTGCCTTGGCACTAACCCTGAGATCGTTGAAGCAGTTCGTTTCAGCAAACTGATAGAGCTGGTGTGAACTAGCTGCTGTCAGTCTTTTTGGCTGCTGGGACTGATAGCAACCTGGATACGGGTCATGTTAACTGTTCCTGGTCCAGAGGCATGTCCAGGGTTAGCAGTTGCTTTCAGTGATGTTCGTACTGTCTTCTCTTCCCATTTTGGCTATCTTTGCATTGAAGAGATTGAGGCAGAATTGAAGAACAGGAAATCATGCTGAAATGGGTGGGTTTTTTTTTTTCCTACAAAAGTTTTGTTCTAGGGCAAAGCAGTAGCAGTGGACATAGGAAATAAAATATTGGCATCCCTTACTCGCTTTTTTACATGTACCAGTGTTCATGGAAGAGGCCATTGTATGGTTCAAAATAACAGCCAGTATAAGGACAAAGAATAATCTTTTTTAGACCCCAAATGCCAGTATGTATCCTGCTATAATTGAACAGCAGCATAATCTTTTCTACATCTGGACAAGCAGCCCTTGATGAAGGCAGCAGCATGCCCCAGTGGCTGCTGTGCAAGTCGGTGCTGTTTTCAGTGTCAAGCACTAACCCTCCCTTAAATGTGGGGAGGGCTTTACATTCATACCTGCAGGTGGTCTTTTGTCTATTAATATTCATTATTCAGATTAAACATCACCTAAAGACAATTTTCGTTGGCCATTGCAGTGTTGGTTTGTTTTTTTTTTGTTTTTTTTTTTGGGAGGTAGTTATTTTAATAAGGCAACAGTTTTACAAACAAAATTAATGGTTGATTAATTAGATATATTAGATATTGCATTTTTGTGTATGAGTATTTATTTCAAAATGCCCCAGCACCCTCCAAGACTAGCTTTCATTCAACCACTGAACTGTCAAGGCTTTTTATTGAACTTGTATTTATAGTTCACTGCATTTATCTCTACAAACAATGCACAGAATCCCATGTGACATTCCCTTGTCATTTACATGATAATACACAACTGTAATTCTTAATTCTTCTTTAGCATTGCTTTGTAACTCGAATGCAGCAGTTCTGTCGCATTCACCACATGAAAATATATTTAAATAATAAACTGCTGGCAYACATTTTAAAACACTGTGAAGAGCAAACTGCTGTGCCACAAGTATCTAAGGTTTTCTTTCTAAGTGCTTCTATAATTATGGCACAACTGTGGCTTTGATGGCTAATGGGAAGTAAATCTCGTTTGCAATGTCTTAAGAGCCAAAACCTAGATAATTATCCCTTTCAAGAAGAAACATGTTTTCCTATTTGGTCACTGGTAACTACCTCAAGTTATATATAAGTTACATGTTCAAAAATGGTGTAGTTGTAGGTTGGTGTGAAACTAGAGATGCTGTGCTATGGAACAGTGCCCTGGGACATGTGTTCATTCAAAAAGGACAGACAAAACTATCATAGATGGATGACGATACTTCACTTTGTTTATCTATTTTATTCTGCTGCAGATCATCTGCTTCTGTAAAAGCTTTGAATTATCATTATATTCAGGCAGACTTACTATTTTCTGTGTGATTTCTTTAAGGTAAACAGTGCTTTGTGAATTAGTGGTCTCATACCCTTTTTGCGTGCTATTTTAGCTATAAATGCTGTCTGATATTTGACTATCCTGCAGAGCCAAAGAATGAAACTCTGTACAACTTGATGRGGTGTAATTTCAATGGCACTCATCTAACTGCTCACTTCTAGCTGAGCTTCCTTTGAGTCCTTTGAGTTAGAGTAATCTCACAGGCAAGGAAGTCCATTGCTTGTCTGAGAGCAGGGAGACTCCAGGACCTGAAAGTTGTGAGCAGAAGGTGGTTGTCAGTAGTAGGATCAGCAGGTTCTGGCTGTGCATTGCCAGCAGCTCAGCAGCACTTTACCTGAGGCTCRAGGAATTGTCTGCACAATCTATATCAGAATGGGGCTCTAGGGCTTTAGACCTCACTCAGCAAAATACTTCCCAMTGCTTTACACAGGCTTTCAGTGAAGTATGTGCTGACAAGGGAGGCTTCACTGGTTCCTTGGTCAGAAGTGGCCTGTTGTACAGATCTGAAGAGGCTGGGTGGGGGTCAGAGCCCAGATGTGATCTGGATCTAACCCAAATGTGAAGCAGGMGGTTCTTAACTAGGTAAAGTGGGTAGGAGTCCTAGGTATTCAGGGGGGAAAAAAAGCATGAAACAGTATATAGAGAGGATGTGCTTAAATGCACTTCATTCAGTTCCATATTTCTCTGTGTTTCTGCAGTTAAATTCAGAAGACTCTCCTGATTTTTTCTTTCATTGGAATCTAAGGAGGCTTGTAGGGTTCCTGAACAGTAGCAGGGGTTGCTGCTACTCCCAGTTTGAGATTGTAATCACTGAGATATTACCTCCAAACATTGCTACAGTGAAGGGCAGACTGGGTTTGCAGTTTCTGAGAGCTAAAGGGTACCAGAATTGTTCTTGCAGTGGCTACTGCTCCCCCAGCAAGCACCAAATAGCAAAGTCTGTGAATTCAGTGGGTTCCCACTTGGTGAAAAAAAGCAAGAATGGCATTTGCAGCACAAATCGCTTCTGTTTGCTTGCTTCTGTTTGCTTGGATTTCTTTTCAGGGTTTCCCTTTGAAAATTTCCTTCACAGTTTGGGAAGCTCTTCCTAGATGCAGAGTTCCCTTACGTCTCWCAGAAAGCAGCTGCCCCAGGGATGTGTTGACCTCTGGTGCCGCCTTTTGCTGCCCTGCTGAGGCTGTGTCAACCCATTCAAAGATTGGGGAAATAACTCGGGGCCAGTGGCAGACAGTGAAAATATAGTTAACACTTTGACTCACTGGTCCKACAGCATGCTCTTTACACCACCAGCATTTTTTTTGCTTTCCCTTTGAAGTTTGATGCCTTTTTTAATGTTAATAAACTTAGAATTATCTCACTGACATTACTAGGTGGTCCAGGACTGTRAGATATGAGGTTATATTAAAACTTAATCCCATTTTGCATGTTATTCYTACTTTGCAACCACAGCATGAAATTTAATCRCTCCCTCAGAGCTGTGCTCCCTGGGTTAAATGTGGCAAAGCTCCCAGGAGAAGGGGCTGGGCTGCACAGTAAGCAGTGCCTGCCGGGCACCCACAGAGCTCCTGCAACTCTCAGTGACCTAGAAAACCTTTACCTTGCTGGCTTGGGTGCAAATATAGCTCTCCCTTCTGAAGCAATGCRTGCTCATTGGAGCAGAAGTTCTTTCCCAATGGGGTGACTCTTGTTTTTGACTGGTGTTTGGACAAACATCAGTCCCATATTCAGGGACTGTTTAATCTGAGTGTGCTTTGGGTTTGGGGCAGGAACAAGGTGGTACACCTGTGATGTCTTAACACCCTCTTGTGCTGTGGCATCCATTGCCTGCTCCAGTGCTGGGTGAGTTTTTGGGAAAGAAGGACACACACAAGCTTGTGTGAATTGGGACTGCTGCTATGTACAGCTGTGAAAGGAGCTGTGCAGATGAAAGCAAACCAGTGTTGTACTCAAGGAAAAGAGCTCTGGCTGGATTATTGGAGGGTGAAAAACAGTAACAGGACAACAAAGAGGGTCTGATGTTGTAAATGGATTGTCTGGYTTTGTGTGATTCTGCTCTTCAGCCACTTGTTACGGGGTTTGGGTTGAGGGGGTTTGTGTGTGTGCCACTTGGGCCATTTCTGCAAGAAAACAAACACAAGGGAAGACTGCAAAATGCAGTGATTGCTGATGCAGGGAAAATCAAGCAGACATCCTGAAGACCGAGACCCTTCCAGCTCCTGTCCCAAGGAGGGATACATAAGTAAGGGGATTTCAGGTGGAATACAAACAGAATGCAAGCTGGTTACAGGGATAATTTAAGACAGCGAGATTTAAATTGTGCTGCCAGGATGTCRCCATGCTTGTCTATCCTCTGTCACCTGGGCTTTTTAAAGTGACACACAGTGTCAAGCYAGTCTTCTGTGTCAATCCAGCAGAACTTGTTTTATAAGAAGTAATCAAAGGCATGACAATTACAAAAAAAAAAAAAGTTGAGGCCCTTTAAAGCAGGTAAATTCCAACCCAGAAGCTGGGACCAGGCAGCATCCTTGGATGAAATTGGATGGGTGCAGGGACAGTGTGTCCCCACATCCACTTTCTTTACCTTCTGTGACAGGTTTCTTGCAACAGCCTCTGAAATGGGTCTTTTTAGGCACTTTGTGTCACAGAACAGGGAGAAAAACGTGTACCAGGAGATTTTTGGCACTCCTGGTACAGAGGACCTGCCCTTTCCCTGTGTAGACCATTGACAATTAGTGATCTTGAAAGAATAGGCTCATTTTCAAAATCTCTCATAAATGTTTTTTGTTATCTGGTGGATTTCAGCCTGTGTAACATTATGTATCCTCAATGATTTTTAATGCCTTCAGCATTTAATTCAACCAATTAAATATTATTTGCCAAAATTCATGAAGTACTTTCCCCATTTCATGAAGTACTATGAAAGTATGAGCTTCTTGCAGTTCACTAAACCTCTTTCAGTGCTATAAAATTCATTATATAATATAATATCCAAGTATGTAACAGTTAAAGTTTTCCCAAACTATTCAGACCAGAGGATGCTGTCAACCTTGGGGCATCCATGCTCAGAGATCCCACCTGCAGCTGTCTGATGGTAAGATTCAGAGGTTTGGGCTCAGTGTGGTTTTTTGTGTGAGGAGT